TATAATCCTGCTTAGCTCCGATTAATAAAGATAAGTCTAAGTCTACATAAAATTGTTAATAATTTATATATTTCTGTATATATATATATATGTATGTTTATGTGTGTATATGTACACATAGGAGTCTGCTGCCCCGCGACCAGGTAACGGATAAGTGGACAGAAATGGATGGATGGATACACACACATATATATATTTACATATATACACATATATATATACTCTGTATAAATATATCTTTCAAACGTTTAAAATTATGAATCTGAGTAACACGGGAAAGCTCCTGTGTAAGTCAACATTTGTTCATATGACCAAAAAAAAAACCCTTATTTGTATAAATAGCTGGTTCGAAATGACAGAAAAAATATTCAAAAGCATAGCTCAATATTTAGCTGAGTCGTTGGATTTAGGGATTAGGATTTAAGTCATTGCCATGAATTCTGGCAGTGGCCAGTGGAACACGACGGGAGTTGTTTCGGTGAAGCCTTTCTACTCAACAATATTAATTTGTCTACAGTCCCTTAATCCATTTGGCGACGTGTCAGTCAGCTTGTCAGCCATCGACTTATTCACTGCCCTCCGCTCGGTGATGCTGGTCTGACGCAAGCCGGGCGTCTAACCAGAAATTGAAAACTTCCGCAAATGTACGCTTGGTGTTGACATGGTATGTTAGGCTCAAACTTCCTCGTGGAAACAAGTGTTTCGACGTCATTAGAACAACAATAAGTGCATGGGCATTTGTACATATATATATATATATATATATAGACACGTATGTAAATATATATATAATAATGGAAAAGGCTATAATTTCTAAATTTGGATCCATTTTTAATAGCTTGTCAGGGGTCAAATAAACTGTGTCTGAAATGTGCGGCAACAGTCATAAAGCTGCGAAATGTTTCTCTGAGGTTAAACAGACATTTAACTGGGGAGCATAACAAAGCAGCTTCTCTTTCATTTCATTTTAATAATGGCCCGTGAGATGGGTATGTAAATGAGGGTGAAAAACAAAGCTCCACACTGCTGCGTGTGCACAAAGAATTTATTATTATTATTATTTTATTTTTTTTCAAGACGGGAGTTGCCGAAAGAAGCTCAATTCATTGACTTTGCAACTGACATACCGACAACCTTTTTTCCACCTCAGGCAGTGTCAATACTTTCCTTTTTTTGCTGCGACTGCAGAGGAAAAATTCCTGATTTTTATTTCGTTCTTGGAGGATTAAAAATGTCACTGAGAGGAACCCAGTGTTTCCCAATTTTAATTTCTGGGGGCCGATATTTTAAAAGTCACAAACCTTTGCGACCCATGTCAATAAACGTTATTCGTAAACTCCTGGGAAACATGATGCGCGACGACCCCCCCCCCAAAAAAAACTCTTGCGACCC